TATTACTTTGCTCATACTGAGCGGAAGAATTTTGCATTCAATATTTGTTATCCCTATTAACGTTAACAAAGATTCAACTTGCTATATAAAGCAAGGTAGCCGGTTTGCAAAGTTAATTACTAAAACAAGATTAATTGTAGTTTCAATGACTCAAACACTGTTTTGAAGATGTTGATAACCTTGAGAGATATTCTTTGATTCTCTAATTCTTCAACTTTAAATATTTCATTTGGAGGAAAAATTGTTGTTTTAGGTGGAGATTCTAGACAAATAATATCAAATTCATCTTGGTAATGTGACATCCTCTATCCTGCACACCATAACACATAAATAATATAAAATTAAAATATCTCGCAAGATATAGATAAACTCAAAATCCATACAAATAGAGAGAATCACATTATTAGCATAAACTATACTTGATGAAAATAATGAGATTACAAAGGGATTAAAGTCAAACTCTCAAAATTAATAACATAAAACCAACTCCCAAACTATTCCTAATTATGCCTCAATGTTACATGACTTATCAGAGCATAACCCATCCTTTAAGACTAGGCCTCATATTATCCTCAACACCAAGTTGTTGATTACCTATAGAAACCACAAGAAAAACAACACATAAGAAAGAGAGAGGGAGAGAGAGAAACATCTCACTTTAACTCATGGTACAAGAATGCAAACCAGCTAACCAAATACAAACAACACATGCAACAAGATATAACATACACAGATAAACATTATCATCACAGTTGTTCAGTCATAGCATGATAAACAGTAACAACTACCTTATAATTCCCTGTACAATGAACAGAAACTACATATTATCATGTATGTGACCCCAATAAAAATATCACACTTGTGCATTATCACTAACAATACACATAGAGTAGCCTAAAAGTACATACAAGGTCATATCCTCTACGCACTCTCACTAGGAGGACATACTACCAGGGTCTGATTAAGATTACTAAACAGTGTAAGATGCATCCCATGCACACAAGGGTAGGATTGTGACTTCCCAAACCAAGCTATCTCCAAGGACATATCCCCAAGAGGTCTTCCTTGATGGTGTATTTCATTCGTATCCTTAAAAATACTTTTATGCATATGATGCATGTCAAACAAACTCTATGCATAACACTTCACTTTATCTCATTAATTCACATATAACAAATCTCATTATATCATATTCTTCATCAAGCACTTGTAATCACACATATATAGGTTCATGTGTATCTCAACTTCATAACATAAGAACAATATCATGCAAATTAGGGAACATCAAACAAAACTCACAAATGGAACAATGCTTGGTGGCACACGTCCTACACTTGGCGCGATGCCTTTAGAGGACCACATTGATCTTTGTCTAAATTGCACCCGACATGGTCGAGCTCAAGGCGAGTGAAAACACAAAATAGAGAGTCCTTATAACATCCACATCCAACAAAAGCGTCACACGAAACTCCCTGGAGCTTTTACATCCGACAAGAGTCATTCCAAGCTTGTTGTGAGTAGGGATGGCAACAGGGCGAGGCGGGTACGGGTTTCATGATACCCGTCCCCGTCCCCGCGAGTTAAACCCATCCCCGTCCCCGCCCCCGTCCCCGTCGGGTATCGGGTATACCCGTATCCGTCAATTTTTTTATTTTTTATTTTTTGTAAAAAAAATGATATTTTAAAATTATTTTTTTATTAGATTATAATTATAATTAAGTTATTTCTTTATCTTATATTATAATAAATAATCACACATAAAAAGATATTAAATTTTTTTAATATAATTAAATTGAAAGTGAGTATTAAATTAAAAATGAGAACGGGGACGGGTATGGGTACGGGTACGGAGCGGATAAGTACATACCCGTACCCGTACCCGATTTAATGTATCAGGTTTTACCCATACCCGTACCCGGTCAAACCGGGTATTCCTTGTCAAAGTCGGGACGGGTTCGGGTATTACCCGCGGGTATGGGTATGTTTGCCATCCCTAGTTGTGAGAGACCCCAAGAGAAAACTTTGCTCTTAGTCTCCATGAGGCCCAACATGTCCAATGTGGTGCCTAACATCAATCATATTAGAAAACATACATTTCGTAGAATCAAAAATTTTGCGAACCAAGTACCAACTCCAATTTTTTTACAATACATTTGGTAAAAGTGTTCTAAATCACATGCTAAACATTTAGAACAACACAATTTGCACATATAATTACATACCCAGATGATTTTTTCATACAATCATCAATACATTCTCTTAGGGGCATTTGGTAAAAGAAAATTTTCATACCTAAGAATCGTGGTTCTTGAAAATTATAAATCTTGGGAATCATGATTTTTTAGAATAGTTAAAATATGTTCGGTTACCTATAAAAGTTCTTAGAAATATTCATATATGATTTTCGATAATTAAAGATTTTCATATTTGGTCACAATAGTATATTCTTCGGTTTATAAATATTTTTTACAAAATATCCTTTATTAAAATAAATTCATTGTATATGTTTATTTACTCAAATATTTTTTAAAATATTTAAATACAAAATTCAACAAAAAAAATGCTACATTATAATTAAGAAGAATATAAGTATATTATTTTATTCCATTCAAATAAAAAGATTAAAAAAATTGTCTAAGAATATCATTAAAATATAGAAACAAAATAGACTTTAATAATATTATTAAAATTAACAAGGTCAAAAAATAATGAAATATAAGAGAAACATAAATAGTAAATAAGAGATAAAATAGAGATATAAGAGGGAGAGAGATAAGGGAGGGGGAAAGGGAGAGAGAGAGAGAGAGAGAGAGAGAGAGAGAGAGAG